CTTAATTAGTAATTTTTGTAATTTTTTTATCTAAAACTATAAAAAGCTTTATAATCTTTAAACTTTCAAGTACAAGTAAAAATATTTGGACAATGATAAATGGATTCTATCTTGTTGAAAGCATGCAAACCAACACTCCGAATATGCATTTCGAGAAATCTATCGCTTAGTGTGTATGGTTGCAGCGATACACTAGCGTGGCACATAGAAATTTTTATTTAAATTTAAAACTGTTTTTAGCGAGATAGAAACCACTTATTCTTGTCAAAATATTCTTACTTGTCCGTGAAGATTTAAAGATTATAAAGTTTTTTGTAGAATTGCAATTCATTTCAAGAAAGGAGATAAAGAAGACCCCAACAATTATAGAGGTATAAATCTACTGAACACCGCACTTTTACCACAAAAGTTCTAGCCAACAAAATCAATAAATTAACAACTTTATCAGATAAACAACAAGGATTCAGATCCGGAAGATCCTGCGTAGACGCCGTATTTGTACTAAAACAAATCACAGAAAAGGCCATCGAGTACAAGATACCGGTATATCTATGTTTTATAGACCTGACAAAGGCTTTCGATCGCATCCAAGTCGAAGACGTCTTACACCTAATGTATAAAAGAAACATACCGATCAATATTACACAAACCATCGAAAACATCTACTTACATAATCGAATACAGGCAAAGATAAACGGAAAACTAACAGTGTATACCAGTACAAAGAGGAGAAAGACAGTTAAGCCCACTTCTCTTTAATATAATAATAGACGAAATAATACAAGCAGTACGTAAAGGTCATGGTTACAAAATGTGGAACAAATAAATCAAAATATTATGTTATGCAGTCGATGCCGCATTAATCACCGAGACAGAAGACGAGCTCCAAAGATTAACACACATTTTCAACACATTTTCCACACATTTTCAACATACCAGCCAAGAAATACAGTATGATAATATCAGCAGCAAAAACCAAATGTATGACAACATCTAAATACCCACTACATGTCAAATCGAAATTGATGGGAAAATAATAAAGCAGGAAGCAAGGTTTAGATGTCTGGGAATAAATATAACTAGTTACGGATATGTTGAAGAAGTACGACAACCAACCTTAAAAGCAAGTAAAGCGGCGGGGTCTCTTAATGACACAATCTGGAAGAACAAGGACCTAAGACAAAACACAAAAACAAGAATCTATAAAGCCACAATTAGAACTATATTAACACGGCGGAGACACGACCTGACACATCTAAAATGAGACGACTACTAGAAACAACAGAGATGAAAATACTCCGACGAATATCAGAGAAAAATCTGTTGGATAGGGAAAAAAACGAAAACATAAGAAGAGCATGCAATATAGAAGATATAAATGGATGGGTGACTAAACGAAAACAAGAGTGAAAACGAACACATTAGTAGAATGGCAGAGGATAGGATAGTACGAATAACACGAGCTAAGTCACCAAATGGACGAAGAAGTATTGGCAGACCAAGAAAAAGATGGTGCGATCATTTAAACAATTTATTTGGCTAATGTGGCTAATATTGAAGATGAAACAGACTTTAAAGCCTACATACAAGAAGGAAGAAGAAGAAGCAATTTATTTAGTAGTTTTTTAGAAAAACATCACAAAAATCACTAATTATGTAAGGCATAACAACAAAACATTGCAAATAACTCAAAAAGAGGCATTTATCCAAAAAGTACCAAAAGAGAAGAGGTTTTATTTTATTTTTACTCGAAGTGATTCGGGAAATTGTATTTTTTGTTTGTTATTTATTAATAACAATTTCCGGCCTACTTGGAATTAAAAAAATACATTTTAGCTTGAAAAAATATATAGAATCGAATAAAAAAGGTTTGGTGTGGTAGAAATGCAATCAAAAATTTAGTCGATATGTTCGGTTTCCAAAACGTCTTTTTTTGGGGTAAACCATTCGCCTTTAACAAATGGTAGACTAAATATTTGATTTACTTATTATTTGTACTTTGAAAACTATATGTGCATTTGTACAGTTTTTACCAATAATTCCTAGTCCCTGTTAAAATATTGATTGTTGTTTTTCTTATTCACCTATCTGTATCTGGTATATTGCTTATTCATCTATATGTATATTGACAGTTCCGTTAAAAATGTCCTTGCTTGTTTCAATTTCTGCTGTAATATTGTCAACTATATAACGTTCAGCAAAACGCTGTAATTGTATGATGTATCCACCATTTACAATAGTACTCACAACTTAATTTCAACACTTTCTGTTAGTATGTGGGGTCGTATTTTCATTTTTAGCTTAGTAGCAATACATGGATACTTGATAAGAGTGGCGCAAGATAGATGAGGTTGGAAACACGAGGAAGTTGCGTATGTTTAGTAGTGGACAGTTAAGGCTGGATGATGATGAGCAATACATGGATAAATTATTAAACAGTAGTTTGCTTGAGTGTTACGTGGAAGTGAAATTTCTAGTCCTTTTTGTCTTTATCGGGGAATGGTGACTATTAAAACAGATCCTGTGTCCTTCACTTCTCTCGACTAATTCGTCACGTCCGCAGACACCGGCAATAAAATTCGAGTTAGAACTACAGAGTACAGAATGACATAATTTACAATAGCCTACACGTAAAAAGTACCTTGCTATGATCATGATATTGGAGTGACAACGTCGTATTGAAACAGAATATTGTTTTGTTTTTCAGACAATAAATTTAAATACTAACGAGTTGTAACGGAAAATAAAGCAACTAATTATATTTAGTTATTAAAGGTTAATAAATCAGGAAAATAATAAAATCCGTATAAAAATAAGTGCATCTATAATTCTATAACAATATAAAAGGTTGAACAATCTAGGTATGATTATTTCATTGATAAGACCAATGACAACCAGCTGCTAATCGAGTCCTACTAAAAATAAACGCGACATTGCCGGCTGTTCAGTAATATCTGAGAACCAAATAGTTTTTGTATTAGTGTTTTTATTTTTGTTTATTGAAGCGAAGCTTTTATAATGGCATTATATTACTTTTTCTCTATAGTCACAAAAGTAGAGTCATAAAATAGCGTATTTTCTGGCGCTACTAGTACAGAAGCGCCTTGGCAAGGCGCTGTAAACAGTTGGAAGAGTCCATTTTCGCGCTGAGGCCCGTTTATCGAATTTACACCAAACTCCTGCAGGAGCCGAGGCAATCCTGTGCCAGAGATGCCTCGCACAGTATCGCCGATATGATATTAGTGTATCACTAGTGAATCACTTGAGTATCGAGTTTGCACTGATTTCGTATCAAATTTCCACAAAATCATAGACTCTTGACATTTCGACAGAAAATTTAATTTTGAACTCACTGTATAATAAGCTAGTTACAGTGAGACCATCTGGTGATTGTCTACTGGGCAGGTGTGCATGTGTATTTTTTGTTTGTGTATGTGTAAGGGTCAAATATTCCATCAACAAATCTATAGTTAATGACGTAGCTGCAGTTCTAATGTCACTCGCAGGCGTTTATTTGTCCTGATATTTATTCACATCTATTTTATTGTCCTATATCCATGACGTTCCCTAATAGATATTGGGATGCACCTATCCTTGGAACTTCCCTATCCGACCTGTCCACGCGGAGATTTGTTTGAGACTAAGTTTGTAGCGTTTCGTTTTTCTAGCCCATAAAGTTCTTGGTACTGCTGTACCAACATGTGATTAAAGTATCACGTAGACTATTTTTATTACATCTAAGTACACCGTTTTACGATCAAAAAACGAAAACTGCAATACTTGGGACACATTACAAGAGGCGAAAGATATGAACTGCTTCGAATAATTATGCAAGGGAAAATAGCAGGAAAAAGGTCCATAGGAAGAAGACGAAACTCCTGGCTAAAGAATCTACGGGAATGGTATAGCTGTAGCAACAACGAATTATTTCAATCAGCAGTTTCGAAAATACGTATAGCCCTGATGATCGCCAACCTTCGGAACGAAGATGGCACTTGACGAAAAAGAAGTACACCGTACTTAGATGTAATAAAATACCCCATGTCATTAATTTTGTCTGGGTGCGATTATGTTAAAAGTCTGTAATTTTTCTCACGAAAATATCCTGGGGTTGGCATTCAGTAGTCGCACCCATCAACGTGTCACCACAACGTGCAGTTTAATGTCAGGCTATTTACCGAGCCACTCTTGTTATGATTTCTGCTTTAACGTTTCATTTCTGCCGCTAGATATTAAGGAACTTCGACTTTCTGAGGTCCCTCCTGTGACCACAACACATTATGACCACCAGAGGTAAACGACTTTCAAAGGTGACTTTCTCTCCTCACCTCACTTCTCACTCACCTCCAGAGGTAAATAACTTTCATAGGTGAGTTCATAAGTATTTATTAAATATTTAAAGTTTATGGTCGATTAGAGACACATTAGTATAATTCATCTTATGATTGAATTTGTACCACTTTCAATTATAGAAAATATACGTATTTTTTTATTATTGTGAGTATATTATGTGTAACATTTAACGATAGAATTTTTTTGAATATATTTGAATTAAAGATAAATTGATATAATTGAGTTAAAGAGTATATTATGTGTCATTTTTAATGAATAATATTAATTACAACCCAAAAAGCTCTTTACCGCTGTTTCGTCTGCCGAAGCTGCAGACGAAACATCGAAGAGAAATAACTCTGAATCACGGCCTACAAACCCGTAAACCAATTAATCAGTACTTATTATGACTACTTTTGATATGTATAGTATAAAAGAAATATCTAAAACCTCGATCTGCGCCAACTTAAAGAATGGCAAAAACGGTTTCATATCCAATTCGATTTACATCACAAATAACGTTGACAGTCAGTCATCTACCTGTTTTCCTGAAAATCAGTCATTTCACAATCACAGATTTTCATTTCACAATCCGATCATTTCACATTCACAGATTTTGTATATTATATTTTACAATAATCTACATTAAATAAAAAGAGACTACTTACCTTGGTAAACAAAGGTTTACCATGATGTGTTATCATAGTGCACTGATCACAGTCCAGAGTAATACTAGTATTGTGGAAGGACTCCTTAGGGTGTTTCATATTATAATACAATTCAGTCACTCCACCTTCAAAAATACTCCTAAAATACCTTGGAATTAACGTCCTTCCAATCGCTGAAAATAAAAAAGAAATCAAAACGAAGTAACAACTTTTATTACTTGAAAAAAAAAGTAATTCAAATATGTATATAAATATAAATTTGTTTTGTGTCTGTGTTGGAGGTTTTGTTGCCTTAAGAGTAGTATATTTCAATTTGTATTTTTTTTGTTTGTTCTGTTCCCTTATTTTGTACATTATTTTTTATATTTAAATTTATCTGACATCGAGTGGAAGTACTAGCGATTCTAAGACAAATGCTGCAGTTGAAGTTGTAGATCTAGTCAGTGGAGTCACAAAAAGAGCTATCAATCGATACAATTTGCATGTTATTTCAATAGCTTGGATCTCTAAGCTAACATTATTTAAATAAATCTTAAAAATTAGTACTAACTAGTTTCATATTAATTTTTGATTCTTTCTCTACTACTTATATCTAACGTAGAAGGTAGAAATATTTTATAACTGTGGTTTTCTCCAAAGAGATATTTGAACAACCTGAGATGCCACAAGGAAACAGTAAGTTTCAGAACAATAATTAATTCTTTTCACTGTTTTCTTACCGAACTCTATAGTTGTGAATAAAATTTTTTTTATCATAAATACCGAGCTGTCTTGACAAAATCCTAGGACGTTATGGTGTGGAGAAAAATATAATTTTTATAACCTAGGAAAGGTTTAGAAATAATGAAAAGAAGACAAATCAAAGTTTCGTAGATCATGTTGTACATATCTCTATATTTATTATATGTAACACGAATAAAGCAACGAATTATTCCAAAAACGCCAATATTAGTTTGAAAATGAAATTGATTCTTTTAAATACCATATTTATAAAACTATTATATTATGATCATACAAATAATATAATGGTTATGAACAAATACCAGGATAGAAAAGCTGGAATAAAACCAAAAAATTAACTCTCTAGTGGAAAAGTAGCTTTACAGCTAAAATATGTCGTTGGCATACATGGACAAATTTTCTTGACTAATATAAAATTCTAGCTGCCACTAACAATAAGGATTGAAGTTATACCACTTACATACGATTCTATAAACCAAGAAATAAGTTCTATATAAAAGAAATCGAATCATAGAAGCAATGGATTTACTTAATTCCGTTCAGTGGCACAAGAAAGGAGGAAAGAAAATAAAATATCAATGTAGACAGTACTAAATTTAAAATATAAGCTACGTGAATTTTTATCCAAATTCTTTTATCATTAAACAAAGAAACTTCCTTTCATATGAAAAATGAAGTGGTTACTCTACTGACTGTACTTTTAGGTGAGAAGTCACATTGCGACGTGTAAGATCTATTGCATCATAAGCTGACGCAGTCATTTTCCTCCTAGGAAGATTTAACTAAAATTATTGGGTTTCACCTCTTGATACGTTGAATAATAATTGTGTCTGAATCCCTCGTCGATATTTGCTTTCGACTCAAGGTATGTTGAATACTCGATTTCCTGTGACCAACAACCATCTGCTGCCGAAGAAAATACAAAGGTAGCGAAACTTTTAGATGGGCCCAGATACAGATCCTCCAAAAAAGATCATAGATCATAGTCTAAACCTGGAAGACGATTAGTTAAGCACTTAAAGAAATCAAGCTGCTTGTTCTTCCCATGAACCCCTTCATGATCCGGTACCCATATTAAAGACACTTTATTGTCTTTTGCCAGGTTCTTAAGAAGATCTTTGCAGTTCCTTACCAATTTTGATTTGGTAAGTTAGTTCTTTAAGTCCGCTTGGCTATCAGTATAAATGTTTATTCTCTTCATTTTGAGGTCTCCTCCGCGATTTCATCAATGCAAGTCACCAAAGCCAAAATTTCAGGCTGGAACACAGCTGTAGATTGACCTAGCCTAAAGGATTTTGGATACATAATCGATCATCTGACTCGAAGGCCACGCCTATGTGTAATATCATGCTTAATAAAAATACCTATTTTTTACATGGTTAGGAAGACCAAAATAGGAAAATTTGGTAAAATTGAAATTCCATCGTAAATGTTTAGGAGCAACGTATTAAAATAAATGTTGTTTACTTTATAAGCGTTTTGCATACATAATTGGCGTTAATAATTCCCTCTTAATACCACATAAAGTATATCGGTAGGTAATTATCCTGGTAAATTGTTAGTGATCTCTCTTTTGACCTGAAGACATATTTTTTTGAGTGTTTCTTAATTTTTTATGTTGCTTTATCTAAAAATATCTTTACCAAAAAACATACAAACATAACCGAAGTAATATTTTTTATCTGCTGTATTTTGTGGCCACTTTTTCTTCTATGAAAACTATTTTATGCTGTATGAAATAATCGAATAATCTTATAATACATCGTATTACCTAACAACCCAATAATCCAGTTTTCCTACAATTACAATTTTTTCAAAGCACAGTCATGTTGTATTATATTAATTCAAAGTAACTAAGGAAGGGGTGGTAATAGTTTCCCGAAGAGTAAGGCGGTGATTATACTACTCTAGCGTGCTCGAAGATATATGTCGCGTAATCACTGGATGAAGAATGTGCAGAAGCGGTTTCCTAAAAACTGGAAGAGGTCGGCTAAGGGATAAAAACCCGAAGAAAAATTCTGGTCCTTCAAGTATGGGGGTCGGATCGACGTGCTAGCAACTCGTCATTCGGAAAACGCTTTAGATAGGCTAAAAATTTTGATAATTTTCCTCGGATTATGGATGGATTAAAACAACGACGAAAATTGCAACGGAAACAGACATTGAAAATGGCTACATGAAACGTACAGGATTATCAGAAAGAAACAAAACTGTTATTAGAACTTGAAAAGGGAAATCAGTATCTATGTACTGATGTAAAGGAAGAAAAAAGGTAAAGGTAATAAAAAAAGTTGGTAACTATATGTACCTACAGCGGTAAGGGTAATAGTGCCAAACAGGGTGTAGCTGTACTCTTAGTTGTACTCTACTTTACAATAAAGTAGCAAAATACATAAAAAAACTCGGAAGAGCACATTATCATGGTAGACCTAACGAAAAATGAACATAATATAGTTATCAGATGGGTTTATGCCCCTAAACGAAGATGCTGCGATAGGAAATAAAGAAGAATTTTACGATAAATAATCTACTGAACGTAGTAGAAGGAATTAAAAAACAAAGAAGTATTTATACTGGAGATTTAAATGCTCGAATGGGAAGAAGGTAGAACAATCAGATTATTGAAAAGTATGGAAAAGCTATTTTAAATAAAAAAAGGTGCGCGACTTATTGGCTTATGTGAGAGCTTATCGTTTAAAGACACAAATGACTTCTAGACACAACCAACAAGAGGTCAATTATTGGTTATATCAGTATGCGACAACAATTGCATTTAAAAGTTTTGTACGTAAGGTTGTATCGAGGAGGGAAGTGTGTATCGGATCACCACTTAACCATGGCAAAGGTGTTGGTTAAATACCGGGAAAATAACAGCGACCATAAATATCAACAAACAATGGCCGAAAATATGAATGTAGACAAATATAATTTATCTAACAAATGAATCCATCCAATTTTTATACAAATTCACAAAACTAAAAAAATAAAAAAAAACAATACGGTGAAAGAACTATGTTGTCGAATAAAAGACTATACATAATGCAGCACAAGAGGCCATAGGGTATAATAGGGTGGTCACAAGGAATAAGAGAGTTGTTGGATACCAAAAAGAAAGCCTATCGAAGCTAGCTAGAAACACAAAATTCAGAAGAGTGGAGAACATACACTTACTGGAATAGGGAAGTTAAGAAAACTGTGACCAAAAGAAGAAACGAAATATGTGACAAAAAATATAAAGAAATAAACAGATATATGATCAGAAAAGATCACAACGGAACAGGGAGATTAAACCCCACAAGTATGAGTGGGCATGAGCACACCTTAATAAATTACAGAGACTTCAGAACAGATCCAATAGACGAAGAGAACTACAACCAATCAGTGACCATCAAGTGAGTATGACAAAAGATAAGGAAGACATGGATTATATGATTCGAAAGTTAACCAAAGAATACGAAAATTTTGGACTCACCATCAACATTAACAAAACGGAATATCTTAGAATGAAGGACGAAGAAAGATACCCAAAACTCTCGATTAGACATATACAAAAATGCGAATAATATCGGTATGATCTAAAATCGAACCTCATGGAGAAATGTAATTAACAAAAGACAATGAAGATGTTCTGTTATGGGAAATAAAAAATATAGACTATTGCGTAACCTATACGAGTAATGAAAGCTAAAATTTAAGGAAAAGCTGGTAGATGCACAAGAAAATACGGTAGCTAATTAATTTAGATTAAAGGTAGTATCAGATCACTATTCCGAGTAGAAATAGATAAAGAGTAGATCATGCAATTCTTTTTCGACGTTCTGGTCCTCTTTTATGGCATTCGAATAAAAATATTTTTTTGAAAGGTGTGGTTGAAGATTCTCATAAAAGATCGTGTAATACATTTTACTAGGACTAATTAAGTGCTTAGTTGTTCCAGCACAAATGCACGTTGGATTTTGTTGGAATTATGGTTTTGTACCTTGGCGATTTGGGTAGATAATTAATGGTTGTGTTGTGTTTTCGACTGATTTATATTCATCCCCCTTGTATGCCGATCCAATATCCATTCAAATATCTATAAACCATTACAGGTTTAACTAGTAATCATCTGAGATAAATACAGTATTATAACGTTTAGTGTCAGTATTTGATGTTTAAATTTAAGAAATATATTGTTACCTATAAACTTACTGTATCGTTTTGGGCCATCTTCTAAACAAAATGCTAACGTTAAAGATGCATCGTCTTCGAAAAATTCCGTTGCAAATGCATCCCACCAAAGGTTATCACTATCCTGAAAGAAAAAATTGAAAACATGTCAGCATAATTAACATTAAATGGATTAAGCAATATAAAATTTTGTTGAATTCAAAATGGGAAATAACGGTTTGATTGACACAAGATAATAAGCCTCTATAAATATTGTAAACTAGTTCACTGATATTTTTTCACTATTTATAGTTTTCAATATAATCATATCAAGACAGTTTTTGCATTATCAGTATAATTCCCTTTAAAATCCACAAGTAAAAAGTTAATTTCCTGTAGTCGGTTGTATACCATATAAAATCACAACCATTTTTATTAAAACATCATTTAAATTTATAGACTTTATATTTACTTAAAAGAACCCTTACGGGCTAAATCACAGAAAGTTAGACATGTTTAAATTCACTAAATATATAGGTGAAAAACCTTTAAATGTTATTGAATTGGTATTGTATTACATTATTGCTAGCGTAGGATAGGATGTTAAAATTGTAAACAGCGTACACTTATACAAAATAATAAGTGAATTTGAAATATCCTCTAAATCAGTTAGGCTCATCCGAATTACGATGTCGGACACAGTAGCTCAAGTACAGATAGAATGAGATGACAGACCCATTACAGACAGGTACAGATAGAATGAGATGACAGATTGGCACCAATATTATTTAATTTAGCATCGGTGGTAAGAAAAGCATGAGAAGGTAGAAACAACACACTTATCAATAAATCAGTGAAACTGGCAGCATATGCAGATGACATAAATATAATGAGCAGAACCAAAGCAACAGGTGAAAATACGTATACAGAACTTAAATCACATGCTAAACAAATAGGTCTGTCAATAAAGGAAAAAAGGCTAAAATCCTAGTACAAAGTTGATTGGAGAGAGCAACACGACCTTACCTGACAGTTGACAACTTAGAAAAAGTAGATAGCTTGATCTATTTAGGAGTCAACATCACAAAGGACAACATTGACGATGCGGAGCTTAGCCGAAGAACTATCCTTGCCAACACGGCATACTTTGCTATGAGTCCGATATTTAAATCACGAGATGTACATCCAAGAACTAAGATACGAATCTACAAGACCATAAACCGACCGATAGTGAGTTATAGATGTGTAACTTGGGTGTTGACTCAAAAATTTGTAAACCGTCTCAGTATATTCACCTCTTCAGCGTCTCCAATGGGTAGGCCATGTATTTAGGATGGAAAAAACAAGCTTTCAAGGAAACTGTGTAATGCAATGAAAGAGACCTATTGGAAGACCCAGAAAGCGATGGGAGGATGATCTGGATGAAGACACCAGAAATCTTCTTGGCAATCGATCGTGGAGGAGGATGGCTGCAGACCGTAACTGATGAAGAGGTTTGATGAGGGAAGACAGGGCTCGAATTGCGACGTAAAGCCATAGGATGGATGGACGGGTATCACTAGATAGATTAGATTCACTTCATGACAACGTAAGCTCCCAAAGAGGGTTACTGGTCCGGAGACGTGGTCTCTACACGATCTTTAGGTAGCAACTAAAGTTTGTTGGTACCTAAAGTTCATCCTTAGTTTTAAAATGTTTAAATTTTAAGTAGATTTACTTTATGACAACGTAAGCTTCCAACGCGAGTTACTGTTCAGGAAACGTAGCCTCTAAACGGACTTTAGGTAGCAACTAAAGTACGTTACTACCTAAAGTCTGTTTAGAAATTACGTCTCCGGACCAGTAATCCTCGTTGGGAGTTTTCGTTGCCATGAAGTGAATCTACTTAAAACTTTAAAATCCTGCATATCTATTAGCAAACATGTAATATAATACCAATTAAATAACATTTAAAGGTTTTTCAGCCATATATTTAGTGGCTTTAAACATGTGAAGTAACTCGTAGCAGCACTGAAGATGAAATATTTATTCCGAAAACCTTCTGTGAATTAGCCCGTAAGGGTTGGTTTAAATAAATATACCTTTTATAAAGGATTTTTTAAAAAATGTTCAATTCTCTTTTTTTCCTATACCAATCTTTCTCTTGGATTACTACATTCATTTCAAACTCAGTGGCAATTACAATTCGTCTGTTAATAACGGCTTTTTAAATTTTCTTCCTTACTTTTCGATAAACACGAATCTTGTTGCTGACTTGTGATGATATCTTTTGACCAACTATTTCACTCCACAAATTGGTAAAGCTGGTATTAAACCAAACGGCTATTAATCCTAAACACTTCTTTAATTCCGAGGTATATCGGTTCTTTGAGCCTTGTTTCCTTTTACAATGGGTAGGATGCTAACCTCGCCCATCAACCCTCCTCTTTTATCCGGGCTTGAGACCGGACGACGACGCATTAATCGCCGAGACAGAAGACGAGCTCCAAAGATTAACACATATCTACAATATAACAGCTAAGATATACAATATGATAATATCAGCAGAAAAAACCATATGTATGACAACATCTAAATACCCACTACGGTGTAAAATCGAAATTGATGGGAAAATAATAAAGCACGAGAAAAGTTTAGATATCTGGGAATAGATATAACTAGTTACGGAGATGTTGAAGAAGAAGTACGACAACAAAAGCTTAAAAGCAAGTAAAGCGGCGGGTTCTCTTAATGACACAATCTGGAAGAACAAACACCTAAGACAAGACACAAAAACAAGAATCTATAAAGCAGCAATTAGACCTATATTAACATACACGGCGGAGACAAGACCTGACACATCTAAAACGAGACGACTGCTAGAAACAACAGAGATGAAAATACTTCGACGAATATCAGGGAAGTAATATATAATAATAATAATTATAATTTATTCATCCTTAAAGATCATTTACATGATATAGGATAAGTCGAATAAAAAAAATATATACATAAATACATTATAAAAACATCACAATTTCAGAGTAAAAGGATAAAAAATACATAGAATTAATTATTTACATCCCCCATATATTCATTTACACTGTAGAAACAATTTTGCAACAAAAAAGATTTTAATTTACTTCGAAATTTATTTAAATTCATTTCAGATTTAATACTGTTGGGAAGATGATTAAAAAGTCTTATACCCATATAATACTGGGATTTTTCAAACCGTGCTGTATTATGCTTTGGTACTCTGATGAGGTCATTTTGCCTAGTTGGGTACTGGTGATAATCAGAATTTAAATTAAAAGTAGTTATATTGGCTTTTACATGTAGTATACATTTAAAAATATATATAGAAGGTACTGTTAAAATGTTGTATTCTTTAAAATATTGTCGACATGAATGCCTATATGGTAAATCAAAAATTAACCGAATTATCCTTTTCTGAGAGACAAACACTCTTGCAGCATTCACAGCACTACCCCAAAGATTTATATTGAAGGCTAAGTGAGGAAGAAGTCTGTTGGATAGAGAGAGAGAGAAGCGAAAACATAAGAAGAGCATGAAATAAAGAAGACATAAATGGATGGGTGACAAAACGAAAATATCAGTAGAATGGCAGAGGATAGAATAGTACGAATAGCACGAGGTAAGTTACCAAATGGACGAAGAAGTATTGGCAGACCAAGAAAAAGATGATGCGACAATTTAAACAATTTAGGAGGCTAATATTAAAGAAGAAAGAGGCATTAAAGCCTACATACTAGAAGGAAGAAGAAGAAGACTTCTTTAATTAGAATTTGTGCTGTTACTTCTACTATTTTACCACAATGGATACCATTTTTAATTTTCATGCCATCAATTTGAGGCTCGGCGTGAAGCAATTCCATTCATAAGTATCAGGTCCTTATTAAATCGATTTTGCAATTTACATCTTCCATCTGAAACTCTTCTATTGTAATTTTTCTTTTATGATCTCACCATTTCACTGTTCTCATGACTCACAATGATTTCATTTTAGTGCTCATTTCATCGTTCTACATGTTTCATGCATAATTTTATAAATATATTGCAAAATTGGTCTTAAGTCTAAAGTGCGTAATATTAACAATAGACAAATATGTATTTTCCCCATGAAGTTTCTTAGATTTTTTGAGATTGAAACCTTCCGTTGAATATTTTCTGGAAACACCCCCGAATCAACTGAGAATATGACAGGTGCAGCAGGTCTATAATTAACTATAGAAGCGCGCGCATGCACACTCGCACGCACTCACTCAAGCACGCACGCATACATATAGACACAAAATACTATTAGTCCAAGCTGTAGAGACAAAAAAAAAGGAATTATTTTTAGCATTAATTAATGAATTTTTGAAACCAGCACAGCGTTATCAAGGGAAATGTCTGAAGGAGCCTCCAAGTGTTTGTATCACCAAACTGTTGGTTATTATTTTTTTATGGCACTTTTAAGGTGCAAAAACGGTGTTTTTTGGTTATTTTTATTAATATTGTATCAAATCAGTATCTTAGGGTAAAATGGTCACAATATTGAAAAAAGTACATACAAAAGCTATAATTTGAGCTGTACTACATTAAATTTGGCCCAATAGTTTACGCAAAATTAAGGATTGAGAGTCCAAAAATGAGAATTTTTCACAATTTTTAATTTTTGAAATACCTTTTGTAAACCTTTTTTATGCAAAAACGTTATATTGTAGATTAAAAATCGAATGGGACTTCCTAAGATCCGATGGGTCAATTTCTTTTCGAGATACGTTTAATTGTTTATAAAAATTCTTAAATTTTTATAAATTTGACAGGGGCATAACTTTTTTTATAAAAAGTCATGAGATCTAACTTTAAACCGATTCTCTTGTTGGTAAATTATATTTTTATCTAGAAATAAAAATAATTGCTCAAAAAGTTTTTCAACCAATTGTTATAAACTAATTAAGCTACAGTGTCCCTATACAGTACAATTTTTACCTTATCTCTCTAAGGACGAAATTTCCAAAATTTTAAAAATTTTGCCGAAAAAATGTTTAAATTCAATTGAAATCAATAATAATGTCTATGGTATATTAATATTTAATTTTTATAATTATTTTTGCAAAAAAATTTGAAAATTTTAAACGTTACGAAAACGTCACATTA